TGGCGGGCTCTTTTTATGGGGATTATATGTGGAAACAAATTTTGACTCGCCGGAACCCCCACGAACAAGAGAGGCCTCCACCCCGCTCGCAATTAATTCAAACATAATTATATAAAAATGTGAAAAAACAGTCTCAGGGTATCTATCTAGCTGAATAGAATCTGCGCAAATTTTTTTCATTATATCTCATTTTACTGCATTATTTTACCATGGCGGGATCTGTAAAATTATTTTCGTTTCAAAAATCCCGCGATGAAGAAATTTCTTCCAATTTTTCCTTTCTCTGGGCACTACTTCTGGAAAGAAATGTTTAAATTTCCTATTCCCAGGGGATGATGCTCCCAAGGGTGGGTCCACATCCGCTGGACGGTGTTCCGTTTTCGGGGGTGCGTTTTCCGGCCTGGGAGGGTCGGTTTTTTATCTATCGCTGGATAGAAGGGGCCCCATAGATCCGAATTACCCCTGCCACGTGGTCTTCCCCAAGGGGTGGCATCCCCAATCCGTGGACATGGGGTCGTCGTATCAGAGCTTCGCAGGCAGGGGATTCAGAGGCCGACATTATGGATGGAGAATTTCCTGCCTTTGGGGCGGTCCCTTCAACGGCGATTTCCTGGCGGCCATTTTTAACCCGCAATCGCAACTACAATTAATGAACAGACTTAATACAAACAATGTATCACTCGAAAATCTTGGAAAATCATCTAGTTAATTAAATCGCCTTTGCCACAGTTCGAATGCGTATTCCACTATTTTTATCGAATTTAGCCATATTATCCACTTGGGTAGGATGACGTCGACTTATCGGGGTTGCAACCCCTAAAAGTCGAAGACGCGACGAGCTACCTTGACTCCATTTTTTTTCTATACACTGCACCGAAAACGAGCTCGAAACTAGAGATCTACATTGAAATCGACCCTTACGTATAAAATAAAATTAAAGAAATCCTGATCTTAACGAGAAATATCGAGTTGGAGCGAAATGCTGATACCACCGTCATATCACGAGGATTTAGGGTTAGGAAAATAGTCCATCTGAAACGTGTAATACATAATTTTTCATTGAAATATTTCCATTTTAGACTTTTTAGATGACGATTACGGGTAGGGGTGTAGCCCGTCACGTGGTCCGAGGGGTGGCACCCCCGCGCGGTCGACGCGGCAACGCCGCGCGCAGTGCGCCGGGTCTGCGCGCTGCCGCGGCGCGGCGGGGCGTCGGAGAATGGTATTATGGGTAGAGACCTTCCCCCCCTCCGGCGCTCGCCGCGGCGCGTATTGTCCGGCAGCCATATTGGAATAACAGCCAACCCCGCCGTGATTGGTCGGTTTTTTTAACGGGCCGCGGGACAATGCCTGGGACGGCCGAGGTTGGGCAATCGGCGCGCCGCCGGAGATAGTCTATCAGTCAACGCCGGGCCTCGCGCACCGCTCGATTCCGACCGACCCAGCGGCCGCCATTTTGCCGCGATCGAGATCGCGATCCGAGCGTCGCAACCTGCCCGCGCCGCCGAGGAATTCGGCGCCCCTGATTGGCCCGCGCCCGGTGGGCTCGCGCTCCCATTGGCCCGCGCCGACTTTCCGTTGGAGCGGACGCCGACGGTCGACGGTGTGCACGTCGGAACCTGTCGACTGCGGAGTTACTCCTGTTTCGTGGATTTGGGCTATTAGTGCGCGGTTGATCGCCGAGGACTGATTAGATAAGCCGGCCTGATCGCACCGATTAATCCGGTGAACTGGACGCGATATTAATATGTAATTCGCGCGTGGCTTGGAGGCCGATGTGGACCGTAATCTTGGGACAAGTGCCGACTAGTTGGTACTGTTTTCTGTAATTTCGTGCTCGGCTTGTGCGGGATTGGAAATATCGGAAATTAGTGACCCCGGACAAGGTGGCTAATTTTTTTTCGACGAACATGGAGCTCCTCGACCCTCGGAGACGACACACGATCCCATTAGGACGCGCCGCGACGCGCTGACCCTGCGCGTCCCTCTTCGCTCCGCAACTACTCTGTGCTGTGATCGGTTATCGTGGCGACTTTTTTGGATTACCCTCCCGACTTGGATTAGCCCTTGCAAGGTATGTTACCAAACGATCCCAACGTGAATAAAAATATTTGGGAAAACAATTCGACCCAGAAATGGGTTTTTAGGATATTTTACTGCCCTACTAAAAACCTACAATTTTAAGGCGACGCGAATGTCGCATCTCAAGAGTCGATCGTAGATGAAGCTTTTCTTCGAATTTGGAGTAACCCTTGCAATGTACGTTGCCGAAAAATTTGCAATGGCTATTTTACGCGGAAATGCATTTTTAGGATATTTTACCGCACTGTTGAGATGACGACTAAAGTCAGGACTTCCGATCGAATGTCCACTCGCGACGGAAGCTCAAACGAGCATGTAGCTTCTTGTTGTTGAACGAGAAAGAAACGATTCTCTTAACACGCTCGAGGGAGTATCGAGGCTTCGTTTTTCTCGAACGGTCTCTTTCCCACGGCTTGGGCTTCGAAAAGGAAGAAAACCCCGACTTTACCGCAGGCTTTTGTGAATTTCCTCGCGGCCGTAGACGGATGTACGGAGAGTCGCGCTAAGTACACATGCTTCGGCGAAAAACAGAAATCTTACAGATTTTTAGTCTCCTTCATTTTCTCACCCTAGCGCTCTTCCTCGTCGTACCTTTCCTCGAATTTAAGTGCCGTACTTTGGCGCTAAGTATTCGGTATTTTTATCAGTGTCCGTACGTGTATTAACTCCGAGTGGAATTAAATCTCAGAATAATGTTAACGGAGAAATTGCATAAATGTGCAGATAACTGCACGACGCGTTCCTGTCGGATGGTTCGCCGCTAAAATGGCTGCCTTTGCCCTTGGTTAAAATTCCTCGTCGAGAAGTAAGACGTCAAACTCCCCTTTTGACATTGTCAGCCATTTCCACCCTTTGTCGGGGAGTCGGAATAAAATCGGGCCGGGATGTATTTGTCGACGGACTCGGGCGATCGTCAGGGTCTCTTTTCGACCGACGCGTCGCGGCGCTGGGCGACGCTCGATGCTCGAGGGCCCAGAAATTCTGCCTAGTAATGCGGGAATTATTACGAGGAAAAGCGCGATCGTTAGGGCCCGAAAGCGCCGACGAAATATGAAAAATGGCCCGTCAGGGGCACTCGTTGCACCGGCGCGGGCCTCAAAAGGGACCCCGTGGAATCGAAAGAGATTCCGGCATTAGCCGCGCCGTGATTTTGCGAATTCTCCACGGTAAAGTCGGGAAAGCCTCCTTCTGTGTTGAGGTTTTCCGTTGGATCCAAATTCGAAGCCCAATTCCCAAGGGAAATTGCAACGGCGATGTACAAAATTTCCCCGCGAACGCGACGGAGGAGCGCAGCTGGTTGCTCCGAATTCCACCCTAAGAAAAAAAAAAAAAAACGTCATTGAACCTAAAAATTTCTTTGAACTGTACCAAAGAAATGTATTATTAATTAAAATAACAATTTCACTCGGATAAATTCGAATAATATTGGATGCAATTTGACGACGAATTTCCTACAAATTGGACGCTGATCATTTTACGGGGGTTGCGAAGTCCTCTCTGTTCAAGGGGAGGTTCACGAGAAGAAGAGGAAGGTCCCACTCGGATTTCTGTCAAATTACGAGGTCCATTATCGCAGGACCTGCCCTGAAATTCGGCCAGACAATGGCGACGTCCACTTGTTAATGTAATAGGCGGCCAAAAGGTGCGACCATTCTTCCTCGGGCCTCTAAGTCAGCCTCCGGAGGAAAATCCTTCGTCCTTCGTTTCCCTCGAGGTCTGCCGATCCCTTGGGAGGACCCACGGGCCCGAGGAATGATTATTTTATGAGATTATTATCTCTAATAACATCCCCCGTTGGGAGGAAAAAAGGGCCCCGAGGAATTCGGATGCCTCGTCCTTTCGAAAATCTGACTCTCTCCTAGGGGAGCCTCGCTTGTTTTCTTTTTTAAGTCACCCCTTTTCTCGCTTCCCACGACTCGGGGATCTTTCATTTTTTAAGAAACCTCACTTGAGTACCGCGCCGGATAGATTTGAAATTAATAAGTGGATCCAGGGTCTTCGTGTCTCTACACGCGGTCCGCAATCTTTTCTATAAAATCAAAGGGAAATAATTCCTCCCTGCATTTATTTTATCCAAGGAAAGAGGAATATTTGATTTATATTCAGGAATAATTTATACGACAAATTGTGGCATTAAGTCGTACGGAAATTTGAAAGGACAGCGAACTAACCATTACCTTCCCGAGGTGCTTTCAGAGGTAGAATACCTGGGGTAGGGATCGAACGGAAGGGCGGGATTGGTCGAAGGGCGTGTACCTTCGGGGCTGAAGGGATCTGCAGGTGGATCCTCCAACGACACCCTCTTTGTCCCTCAATTAGTCACATTTTTCTCGGCCCTCCCCCGAAAATTGCCCTCGGAAGAGGGCCCCAGTCAGTTTTCGAGACGCTGTCCTCCCAGAACGGCTGGTTTTTCACTCGGAGTGCATCTCTTTTCGCCTTTGGCTTATCGACGATCTCATCGATAATCGCTCGGCCGTGTTTACTTTGCCGGGATATTTTTTGTGCCATCCTGCATAATCGACGTTTACGATTTAACAATCGGGGAAAATGATACGCTCGACCGTTAAGTTAAAAATCGAGGATGTCGACTCGGCACTTTCTTGCGGCTCTTTTTTGCAATGCGAGGGTGCAATTATCATATTGGTGATGTAGCTTTGTGTTACCGACTCGAGATTTCGATAGTGACTGGGTTGATCGGTGATTGATTCGGGCTGGGAGTGTATATTTGATGTGTCGATGGAAATAGAGATCAAAATTGTGGCCGAAGAGAACACTTGGAGTGAACCTTGATCGTGCGGACTATTTTCGCGTACGTAATTCCCTGGCGATTTAGTTAATGTATTTTTCTCCACGAGCACTTAGATGCAGTCTTGTTAGATGATCATTTATATATTCATGTGAATAATCCCTGTTCTCAGGGGAGTACATCCTAAACTCTGGCAACCAGAGCGTGAGTAGCTCCGTCAGCAACGAGGAGCCATTATTGGGCCAGTCTTCTTTGGACTTGAACGACCACGGATTGGTGGGACTTTCGGAAGACTCTCTCGGACTGAACAACAGTTTAGGACTCGAAAGTGACTTCACCTCCGAGCTCCTAGGGGATGGTCTCCTAGGAGGTGGCGTCGAGGGTCTCCTCAGCAACGATTCTCTGGGCTTGCCCGACGGATTCAACCTCGAAGAGGCTCTTCAACTCGTCGGCCTCGATGAGGCTCAACCAGAGGTGCGTTGTTTATAATTGAAAATTAATTCTATATCGGAAAATTCGGTAGAGCATCGCGGCAAATACTGTTAAATAACATTAATGTTAAATAACAGGGTTAATATACTAATATTGAAAATAGTTGAAAGAAACCGCAAGAAGGGGATATTGAATTAAATTAGATATCTGTACGTCATTCTTAGCAACGGAACATGCGTGCTCGGGCTTCTTTCCGACTGTACGCAGCGCTTGGTTTTTTATTAATAAATGGTATTTAATTTATAGCAAGCCAAGCCGGAAGTGAAGAAGTCAGACGAAGAGAGTGCTACCGAAGAGGAGGAGAAGAGTCCCGAGACTACCGACCCGCCGACGGAAAACGAGAAGGACTCGAAAAGCTCAAACCAATCCGAGGACGCGGAAACCGGCGACATGATTCACACACCGCAATTCCACCATCCCCATCATCCTCACCACCGCACCTTCCAGGTAAGTTTCTAATTATTTTAGAAGACCTCAAAGAAAAAAAGAAACGCACAGAAAAACCGAGGAGTGAAAATTGAAAACTATCAGTTGGGAAATGCCTGACATTTACTTAGTATAGATTCAGGTACAGTTTGACTTTCGGTAATTTATCGGTTTGGGTGACTGACTTGCCTATCAGGATTTTGATAAATCAATTCGGGGCGTAAACGGAAGCTTGCCAGAAGGTAGTTGCGGTACCGATTGCAATTGCAGGTATCGGTAATACCGTACTCGCTGTTAACGCTGCCATACGACTCCGTTACGTGTACGCGGTCTGGCGACTTTTCAAAATTCCGCTAATGAGCTCGGTGGAATATCCCAATAAACGCAAGGTGGCGTAAATAAGAGGTATTAAACGTTCCCCATAAACGCGCAAGACGTGTATTACACGGCAAAATGTCAGCCCCCTACGCCGCTCACATACCGTTATTCGCCTACTCTTGAAAAATTGTGTCAAACATACTTCTCAGTCCTAGGAGTTCATTGAGTCGTATAAGTGCACGTGCGTTTTTTTTTCCTTTTTTCGAAATTGCGCTAATGAGCGACCCTAGGGGGGTCTAGAGACCCGGGGGGGTCCGGAGGCCCGGGAGGGGACTGAAGGGGCCTTGGGGGCCCCGAATGATATACGAAGTAGGAAACGCAGATAAGCGGGCCACTAAAGGCCGGATAGGACGCGCGGTTAGAGCGGCGTTTACGATCCATAAACGGGACATTTGATATTTATAACGGCGACCGCAGCGCTCCGGTGAGCGCGGAACGAAGTGCTGGTCCAACGCCGGGCACCCGACAATTATCCCTCGTAACCGCGTCTTAATGTAACGAGTCGCGGCTAAGATGTGTAACTCGCTCGGAAAAGGTATCGTCCATCCTCGCGACCCATTCAGCTACGTCTCCTGCAACAAGTCGTGCAACAAAGTTTGACTTAACTTTGCCGTTAACAATCGCGGGAAACAGAGGGAACTAGTGTTCTTTCACGCCCATTTTAATATATTCCTGAAACGAGAAAATAATCATTAGAAGGATAAGGGAGGATGACGTTATCAGCAAAATGGCGTTTCCTCCCCGGAAAGCACGGTCTGGGCGAAATAATTGCGGAAGGAAGATTAATCATCAACCCCCTCGTAATGAGACGAAAATTAATGAAGAAATGTTGAATTTTAATTCACTCCTCGTATTAAAGTCTCTCATAAAGAGGTTGGAGCGTATCCTCCGAATATTCATCGGCATCAGGAACATACCCTAAACGTATTCTCTAGGTGTTGTATCGTATGCAGAATTACCCTAAACCGTAATATATCAATTCTTAACGAGATCTATATACCGCAAGTAAACGTTAGGGGATCCGCGCGGCAGCATGCAAATTTCCCGCCACGCGCACGGCAGCGCCTCCCTCGGTCGCGGATAATTTTCAAAGGAATCGTCCTCCGCTCCTTTTCACCCGCAACAGTCGAAGCCTTCCGTTCTCTTCTGCGATTCTCAACGATCCTCGACGATCCTCGTGCGTCACTAACGATCGTAGATCGCTCGAACAGATGCGATGCGTGTCAGGTGAGCGCTCTTGCGCGCGCAACCTAACCTCTTAACACGGTATCCGCGTTCCATCGGGCCGAACCGGGTTGAAGTCCCGGCTTGTTCGGTGCATTGTCTTATAAAATGTAAAACGCCGCCGCGTGATTTACCGCCTTGGCCTGCGTGGCTAACGTTGCACTCAAAGTACGTATCGGGCCGTATACGTATAGGTGTACTTAACTATCCGCACACGGCAATCAGGTACGACTATTACCTGTCGTTGTTCTAGAAGCAGCCTGCTGCCGTTGCACCCGGTTGCCGGTGGTGCCCGCTCGCTCTTACGCAACGCATTTTTATGGCCCGCCGCTGATTGTAATTACCACTTAGAATCGCTTTACATCGCGCCATAATGCGCCGCGATCAGACGCTTCGACGGGGATTCAGCTTGATTTACCACCGGGGCTTCCGCGCGAAAAATAACCCCGACCCCGTGGATGTCCCACGCATTGTTAGCCATTTTTATTGCGCCCCTGGTGCGAGCCCCCCGCGAGCGGCGATGAGTTCCCAGATGACCCGCGGAGGCGCCAGGAGCGGTGCTCAGGCGGCTGCGGAGGGTGAGCTCACCTGGAGGTTTCTTTTCTACTTTGTGAACGAGGGAATGTACGTAGGAGGCTGAACCTCGGTACCTGGACTTCTTTCCGTGGCATCTTTCGATCGTATGTCATAATTACCTATAAAATGTCGATTTTAGACTTGATAATGAAGAATTTCAATGACCAATGCTTCATAATTTGTAATTGCGGGAATGCCTCGGGAATGTAGCTTTGCACTGAAATATTGAATTGAATTCTGGTGTTTTTTTATTAAGAGACCGGAATTTCGTTACAGGAAAAGGGTTCGACTAGTCGTTGGTAGCGTCTAGGTAGCCTCGTTTCGAAATCTGTTGGAACCAATCTGGTAAACTGAGCTCGAGTATTAGGTCCCTGTTTATGGCATCTTTACGTGTCTCTAGTCTTTCCGCAATACTTTGCAATAATTTATCTTACAGAAACGTTAAATATGCCTAGACGGACGGCGTATGGTTGCCATTGGCATTACGCGTTATAGCTCGTGGGAAAAGACCGCAAGAGGGGCGAATAAGAAAATCCCTGTTTTCAACGCGAACTTCGGAGCGTACCACCCGTGAGAACGTCGGAAGGTACTTTCCCGTGTTTTATAACCTCTAAACTCGTCAGGGGAGACATAAAGTCGTTAAGCGGCAGAATTAGGGAACTGGGCCTCGGGGCTATTTTCATTACCATTTCCCTTTTTTGCGAAGAAACGTAGATAAATCCTCGGCAGTGGCACACATAGGAATCCTACATCTTTCATGCAAGAGATATTAAATCTCTTCTTCGAATTAACATCCCATGACATTTTAAAATTGGTCCTTCCCGTCGGGGCTCCGATCCAGAAACCAATATTTCAGAAATCGGGAATGGGAACTCGTGTTCATGTAATTTACCGTAAAAAGCTACGTAAATTACCTAGGGGTATTTTACCCACCCTACCCTGGTGCTTCTTTCGGACACTTGACTGGGTACACATACCGCGATGCCTCCTCCATTTCTATAAGCTCTATGGTGACAGTGACCGAACGGGTCGCAGCGGGATGCACGCGTGTGTGCGCACGCACGCGACACCGACACACCCGAGGGGATCGACCAATGAGAGCGCGAGAAACCCCTTCCAACGGACGGACAGGGAGTACGAATCTAGTAGTACGGACGCACGCGTGGCGTACTCGCGCCGTCCACGAGTACTCACGGTCGACACACGCCGGACAAGACGCGTCGCCGAGACGCTGCGGTTAGAACGACGTCGGGCGAAAAATCGGCGCGTTTTTCCGGAATCCCAATTCGAAGGACGGATCCAGGGGAAAAGAGGGATAAGGAACCCCCTAGCCGGGATTTCGAGGGGGTGGCTCCAGGGGAAAGAGGACACTCCTCGAGGTCCACGCGAAGTGAAAAGTGGATAAGAGAGGTTATCCCCGTTGCCGATTCGAAATACGGGAAAATTCTCCGGGCTAGATAGAGGAACATGAAAACTTACCCGTTGGACGGATTTATCACGATCGGTGCTCCGAGGTTTGAATTAAAGCGAGGCGTAAGGACGCTCTTCTGGAGGGAAAAAGCCGCCACATTTGAGACGCCCAATTGGAGAAAGTACCAGCTCCAGGGGAAAGAGGAGGTAGTTCAAGATCCGTTTCTACCGCACGTGGCAGACCGCGGGTTGTCTCCTACGGAAAGACCCCTCTGCGGCAGGTGGTTCCGGCAGACCTTACGGAAAGTTCCACGGAAATAATTCACTTCCGGGGGCACTCGTTTTGCGTTAATCCCTCGTCAAAAGTGACAGCTTCGGCCCGGAAGGATAACCACGGAAAACGAGGCGAGAAAATCGTTCCGCCACTTCTAATTGTTCTTCGACATCCTTTTTCTTTCTTATGAACTGACGTTGAAATTTAGTGGATTTTTGGGACCGGCTTTATTGCGCGGAAGATCACTTTTTAAAGAATTAAGGGTCGAAGGTGGACTAATCGAAGTTTTCGAGGGTTAGTGTCCTAGCTCGTGACTTTTTCATGCAAAGGGATGAGACTCTTTGAGCACACATGAACGAGGTGCAGCAAGTCGTATTTAAAACGCACGCGAATCCTGCCACGGAATACCAGCAAGTACAGCAGTACTCATCCGGCACAGAATGTTGGAGTCTGATTCTAGACGATGGTCTTATCCAGGTACTTGCATGCGTAAATACATGTAGAAATAGTTTTAGTGACAATCATTCGATTACCCGGTACTACGGGTAATTAGCAGAACGCAATTTTCCATATTTTCCGTGTCCTCGCGTCGACGCGAACCGCGGGGAGGCCGCAATTAGTTCGACCGTGGATCACGCATGGTACGTCTTCGTGTCGTGTGCGACACGTAAATGCACCCGGCGAAATTAGTATATCTGTCTCCCTCTCGGTAGACCTCTGGTTAGTTGGTACGCCATTTGCGCGCATTGTGCAAGGGTTGCGCAACTGCACGCGGCATCGTTCGCGAACCATATCATTTTTGGAGCTCGTCCCTCTCACGCGAGCGCCGTATTGACACTGACCTCGGTCACCTGTAATTACCACGTGGATGCTGCTCGGGAGCATGTAGTCTTTACCCCGGTATTATTACCTCCCGTTTCACTTCCGTTTCTGCTGGTAAGACGGCCATCTAAGCTCGTCGTCCGCGGGTGACGGAAGGAGAAATTACGCCTTTGATGTTCGGATTGGCGAAAGAATTTTTCTTTCCTTTTTCAAATTTTATTATTTCTGGTAATCGAAAGACGGCTGTATTACGTGAAACGGGCAGGAAAATTTGTCGACCGCAGGCTAAAGACTCGTCAATTGCTCCGACGAGGTGCGAGGCGATCAGGTAAGACCG